GAAACAAATAGTCTTTAAAATGAAATAAACCCTAAAATTTAAAAGAGTTATGGTTTAATTTCATTAATTTAATTGAAGGGTCTGAAAGAATAATTAAACCAGAAAAATTAAAAGTCAAAGACATAATTTCACCTTAAACTAAAAGGGTCTTAAAAATAATTAAACCAACAAATTTTGGGAGGGACAATGACCTAATTGTAACGCTTTTAAAATTTTAATGATCTAAACCTAATTAAACCGTCAAATTTTGGGAAGGGCAGTCCCAAATTTTGATGAATGGTTAGTTTTGCAGGATTTATATGTTGTATTCTCGTCAACTTTAATTATTTTGATGAATTGAATTGACGTCTCCTTGAAAAAATTGAAAACATGGAAATCATGTTTTCAATAAATTAGATAAGGATAATATTTTTCCCGTACTTTGTTTTGAGATTTATTTCCTTTTTAAAAATAGTTTTTATCCTTTTAAACGTAAATATTTTCCCCCCAAAATATGTAACGATATCTTTTTATATTTCGTTGTTTACACGGTACCATTAAGATATAAAATTTAATTGGCATAATACAGAATTGCCCACAATATTGTATAGATGGTTACTTTATCTCATATTTTTTTTTGGAATAATTTTATCCTCAATTTTTCAATTTTTAATAAAAGCAGACATGTTGAATCAATAACATTAGTTGACTAACTAAAATGATGACATGATATGTTCCGTATTATCCAAAATGAAGATATAATACATACACGTAAGCAATTGAACACATAGAAATATCATATTAAAAACATGTGTTGAAAGTTAGTCATCTAATTTTCATCCAACAAATATTGTTTTAATAAGAAAATGAAATATTAAGAGCAAAATAATCTAAACGAATAAAAATAGATTGACTATTTGTGCTAACCTTGTGGGTAATTGTATTATTATACCAATCTAATTTGAATAGTCAACACTGACAGGCTCTTTCCTCCCATAGAAAACAACTTTCAAGATCCATTTACAAGTACAAAATGTTTCGCGTGCTAATTAATTTCAAGATAAATTATATTAGATAACATTCAACTTTAGATAATATATTATTTATATTAATAATTTTTTAGTTTCATCTTCTGTTCCAATTTCTCAAGGATAGTTAGCTCTTCTGCTAAATGATACTCTGGTTTCCTACAAGGTATCATCTGTTCCAATTTCTCAAGGTTGGTTAGCTCTTCTGCTAAATGATTCCCTGGTTTCCTACAAGGTATCATCTGTTAAAGAAGGCACCGACAAAGTGAAGGTTAGAATATGTACCTTTTGTTTTCTTATTGCTTTTTGTTAGTAAATTTAACCTCATTTTGCACTTGTTTTGGAGTCTAACAGTAGAATTTAAAATGATAGTATCGTTAAGATAAGTTTTTAAGTGCCACGAAAGAAGTGATTTTTTAGGTGCCACGTAAGATTTTTATTAAGGGTTAACGAAAGTTAAAGACAAAGGGACTTACACTGAACGGATCGATAACTTAAGGGATTATTTATCCTTATTGGTAACCAAAGTCGATCATAACAAAAATAAAGAGGACTATTCACATAGTTTACCCTTATTTTAATTATGTCATTCGGTATTAAAATCCAAACTGTGTAATGGCATAGAAAAACAATATTATTTTGGTGTGGCTAGCTATTAATGCCTAAAATGACATTATTTTAGGCACTGAACTTTATGGGCGTATCGGTTTTGTCATTAAATTTTTAAACAATTCTATTTTTGGCATTGTATTTTTTGTTTGTCTTCGGTAGCCAATCACTTCTCAACATCAATCATCTTTCGTTACAAGATCGGTACCATAACGTTCGCATTTCACTTTTTTTCTCTTAAAATTGGTTTTTCACGAAACCCATTTAAAATTGATGAAAATAAAAAAAAATCTACCATTTTTAGGGTTTGGAGGACTTGCTTTTTATTTTAGGGATTTGGAATATTTGTTCCAAAATTTGAATGAAAAATATTATTTCGAGAAGACGAACAACATACCTCAAAACTAGCTTTATCGGAAGAGATCAAAGTATTGGCATGTCGAGTTTTTAAATAGATTTTCATCCATTTTAATTGAGTTTTGTGAAAAACTAATCTTAGAAGAAGAAAGATTAATGCAATACGAATGTTTCGATATCGATCTTGTTGTGAAAGACAATCAATGAAGAGTGGTTATTAGTCGTCAACAACTATTGAAAAAGTATAGTGTCAAAAAGTAAAATGTTCAAAATTTTAATAACAAAATCGATACACCCCTAAAGTATAGTGCATAAAACAACATCATTTTAACTATCGATAGTCGTTGCCAAAAGAAAATCGTTTTGTCCATGTCATCAAAGTGACGAAAAGATCTATCTACACCATCTTGACGTAAAATTTACAGTTCGGTAGAATAAAAATAGTTAAAACAAAAGTTTAGTCGTATAATTGGAGAAGTTAAAAAAATATTGATATATACGATATAATATCTAAAGTTCAGTGGTATATAACATAGTTTATTCTTAAATTTAAGTCTAAAAAATTTAAACAACTCAGTTTTAATTGTTATTAGGATTATTATCTAATATAACATTAGTGAAAAAAATAAGTTTACAAATGATTTTAAGATAATGATAAGTATTATATTTATTAATATTTAAATTATTAACAATATTTATCATAATTTGGGATGATTACAAAATAATACTTATTTGTAAGTTTTCATAATCATTGATATCGTGGTGACGTAATTTCTCGAATGTATGATTTCAAGAAAAAAATAAGATTCTTTTTAACAATTGAAATCACTGAATAGATTCATATTTATAGTAATTTTAACTTTGATGATACAAAGTTTCACTAATAATACACCAAACAGTAGTCTTAATAATAATAATTAAAGGATGGGCTTTGAATGAGGTAGGGCAGGGACATAGTTAATAGGATGGGCCTAAAGTATCATATTTAAGAATGAGGAAAGCAGTCCACATCGGACTGCAACTGAAATGCGTTTGGAATATGTTTTCCCCCATGCGAATGTTTGAGCGGCTTTACCAACCATTTAATTATATTTCATAATTAATGACTCCACCCTTTGGATCTCCAAACTCCTTTTCCCACCAACTCTACGCTTTTATGTTTAATTTTGCTTTTACTCCTTATGTTATATTAAAATTTTGAGATTTATTCTCTCAACTCTAATTTAGCCTAATCTAGTTTCTCTATTTCTTTTTCATATTATTAGTATGTCTGAATGGATGACATCATCGTTACTCTAATTAAAGTAATAACATTAATTTTTTTACTGTTATTTACTCAATCATATACTAAAATTAAAGATGGATCGAGAGAGTGTTAGGGGACGGTCATACCATCTAAAAGTGTTCAAATTAACATATAACTATTAATTGTAATCGTTAGCCGATGTAATCGTTATGTTTTATATGTTAATTAATTAGATTATTAAATTTAAACTGTTTTAATTAATCGAACAATTAAAAATGACAGTTAACAATTACAGTTATGGTTACGGATTTTATAAATGATTAACTATCGATTAATCGTTAACAAGTTATAATTGCATTTTGTGTTTGTTAAAGATTTATCTTTAAAACTTTGAAAGTGTTTTGGATTATTGCTAATTGTTTTGCGCTTAACTTTGTTTTATTATTAATGATTATGTATTTTGTAGTATGAATTATGAAATTTTGAAAATTTTATGTTGTGTCGTCTTTTAAAAAGAAATTTGTAATAGAATACATGCTAATCTATAGCCGAAATCATTAATAATAATTAATCAACCGTTTATATTAAACAATACGATTAACTAGGGATAACAAACAAGCGGAGCGGTGCAGATATCCCTTCCCTATCTCCATACTCACATAATATTTTTGTATCCACCACTTACCCACCACCTACTATAGGTAAAATTTTAAAATCCACACACGCCCAGGCGAGTATATTCTCACATTCACCCCTACACCTACTACCCAACTGATTACCCACCACCCATCTTGTACCCACTTGTACCCGTTCACACCCACTTGCCAGCATCCTCACAAATTATATAAGCAACATTCTTCAATTTTGAAAAAGTTATACCTTAATATTTGGTTAAATTAAAAGTTATATCCTATAAAATCTTAAGATTTACATAATAGTCTCTAAAATTATATTTAAATTCATAATAATCTAAAATTTATATGGTAAATAGTTAGTAGGTAGGTGAATGTGGGGCGAGTAAGGTCTCAAACCCATCATCTACCCACTACCCATGACAAGTATGACTTTTTACACACCCGCTCACTACCCACTAAACTTATACCCATCCCCACCTTATTTTGGAGCAGGTGCGATGCAAAATCCACAAAATTTTATCCGCCTATCATCCCTACGGTTAACCGACCATAAACACCCCAAGAAGTTTAAAATTTTTATATAAATTAAGTATTTTTTTATTTTTTTCTAATAATCTACTTTCACATCCTATAAAATTTAATATACTTCTTAAATTTAATATACTTCTTAAAGATTCGTACTCTAACATAAAATTCTAAATCCGTCTTTAAATGAGATGATATGAAAATCTTTCTTGTTTTAAGACTTAGCTCTAATAACAAGAAGAGGTCTTAATATCTTTGAGGTCTCATGTATAAAACCCATCATGTGTGTGGGTTTGGTCTAGAATTATGTCGAGGTGTTTTCGTTGAACTGTGTTATTAATCCGGATTATTAATTTAGACTTACTAATAATACTAGATAAGCAATGAAACTAAAGTAGATGAACTGAATCATAAAGTAAAACATAGTAAGAGGACTAAAACTGAAATTAAAAGAAACATACAAAGGTGTTCCAATCTGGCAACGTTCCACTAATAAATAGAAGAAGGCAAAAAAGTCAAAGCGTCTTCTCTTCACGTTTATCCTAATTACAGAGAGCCCCATCGAAACAACGTCGTCATTCGACCGCTTAAAACTTTTGTACTTTAATACCCCAATCCTTCTCACCTTCTCCATATTCCAAATGCCCCCTCTTTCATTGGCCTCAAAACCAATCCAATTATCCCTTCCATTATCATCACCTCTAACCAAAAAAAAAAAACTCTCCTTTCTTCCTCCCATTTCTCCTTTTTCAAGTCACAGGATTCGAGGTACTATTAAATTAATGTCTTTTTATTCTTGATTTTGTTTCTTCTCAAGTTCCCACCTTTTATTTTGCATCCGTTGGATGAGATCTTTAGATGCATATTAATATTGGGTTGGCCTTTGCTTTTGTAGAATCTTATTGATTTCTCCGATTCATATGCTTTTTCTTCTTCTTCTTTCTTTATTTATTTTTCAATGCAAATGGACAAGTTTGTAATAAATACGATATGTGAAATAAAGAACATAATAATTGATGTCCCAAGAAAGGGCTTAAATGATGTTTCCTTTTAGTTTGACATAGATTTGATAGAAACGAAGTCTCTTGCATCTAATGCCAATGCCTTGAATATAAACCCAGGTTAAATTCCAATATTCTGAGACCTCTTTTTCCTTTTGAATGGCTGACCTTTACACTGTTCCTGCCCAAAATCATTTGAATATATCCCAAGAAATGTGTTTGCCGTTAGCCATTCTTGTCAGTGTTTTTATGGTATTTGTGCCACCCATCCCCAGCAATACACTTGTCTGTCTGTCTCTGGCCGTTTCTATAGGAGAACTATTAGCAGTACCATGGTGTAACTCATGGGGTCATTCCTTTTGAAGATGTTACCCCGTTGGAATGATTGTCTTTTAGATGGATTTAAATTAAGATTGCGATTATAGTCATTATGGGTGTTGCAGTTGTTAAATAATAATTTTCGATGGCACCTTTATTACTATGTAACGGTTACTATTTCGACAACGGACCGCTATTTAAATCTCTAGTATTAGATGTTCCGTCTCTCCTATGATTCTGCTCTTTCATAGCATCTATTCACTTTTCTTGGAATAACCATGCATATTCTAACACTTATGTCATATGGAACACATAAATGTGAGGTATCACCTCTAATGATTCTTTAAATACATGAAAAAATTTAAAGGAATTCTAACAATATCCATGCCGGATAGATATCCGAATCCAAGTAGCATCGGTTGGTGGTAGAATAGGAGCAGATTTCCATTTGGTTCTTTGGAATTGTGATGGATATGAATTTTACTTGCTACTTGTTACATCTGCTCATAAGCTCAAGGAACATTGAGTGACACTGAGACCATTATTGCAGGCAGCTGAGAGTGGACATTTTGAGCAGCTGCCAGAACCAAAGAGATGGAAGTTTGCAGACCCCTGAAATCAGATGATAAATTGAAGCACCGCCCTTTGACTCCTTACAGGTTTTTCAGGGGTCTGATATGTTTAATTGTGTTCCTCTCCACTGCTTTCATGTTGCTCGCGTATTTAGGACCCGGTGCCGTCCTGTTGCGATATCTCAGCATACATTACAGTCGAAAAGCAACGTCCTTCTTCTTCGGCCTATGGCTATCAATGTGGCCCTTTCTCTTTGAGAAAATAAATGGGACTAAAGTGGTCTTCTCTGGGGACAATGTTCCACAAAAGGAACGTGTCTTAATTATTGTTAATCACAGAACTGAAGTTGATTGGATGTACCTGTGGGATCTTGCAATGCGAAAAGGGTGCTTGGGCTACATCAAATATATTCTTAAGAGCAGCCTGTTGAAGTTACCCGTTCTTGGTTGGGCATTTCACATCTTGGAGTTCATTTCTGTTGATAGAAAGTGGGAAACTGATGAAACTATCATGCACCAAATGCTTTCGACTTTTAAGAATCCTCGAGATCCTTTGTGGCTGGCTCTTTTCCCCGAAGGAACCGATTTTACGTAAACTTTTTCAGTATATCTTAGCTTCAATCTCTGCAAATACATGTCTAAGGATGTTGTTTGCATTCTTATGTCAGTTTTATGTAATGCAGTGAAAAAAAATGCATGAAGAGTCGAGAATATGCAACTGAAGTTGGTCTGCCGGTGCTGACGAATGTGCTGCTACCGAAAACAAGGGGGTTCTGCCTTTGCTTAGAAACACTTAGGGGCTCTTTTGATGCAGGTTCATTGTGAATAGATTAGATGATTAACTCATGGATTCTGTTTTCTGCATTTCTCTTGATATTTGCCTGGTGTATATGCAGTATATGATTTGACTATTGCGTACAAGCATCAATGCCCCTTCTTTGTCGACAACGTATTCGGAGTCGATCCTTCGGAGGTTCACATACATGTACAACGTATCCCCGTTAACGAGATCCCGACATCGAGTGCAGAGGCCGCGGCTTGGTTAATCGATAGGTTCGAGATAAAGGACCGATTACTCTCGGATTTCAAATCTCAGGGCCATTTCCATCAGCAAGGAGAAGAAGAAGAAGTGTCTACACTGAAGTCTTTACTAAACTTTGGAGTGATAATTGCGTTGACAGGCATATTCACTTGCCTAACATTTAGCTTCAGGCTGTGTAAGATACATGTAGGCTTAGCTTGTTTATATCTTACTTGCATTACTCATTACAAAACTCTCCCCAATCCAATTCTAAGCTCTGTTAAATGTCACCCTTGTGATAAGGGAGAGGGAAATAAAGATGAATAACTTTCTCTTATGATTATCAGACATCAATTGTAAGTCACAGTTTAAAGAAGAGGAGAAAGTTGCCTGCTTTTATTTTGACCCTTGATTTTTTAGAGCACGTTATTTTCTAACGCTTCTTCAAAAGATCTTTTCACTATTAACGTTCGGAGCTGACTCAACCAACACATACAGAGCCAGATGCTGACACAACAGTTTATCCTATTTGATTTTTTTTAAATAAAAAATAAAACTATTATAAATAATATTTATATGAAATTATTTACAACAAATCAAAGAGCTACACATGATTTTTTTTTCTTGTTAGTGTTGATGTAAACAAAGTAATAAAACTTTCATCTCATAATTTTTTACAATAATCCTAAAATTATTCACTCTATTAAGAACCACATATTGGAAACTATAAACCTTAATTCCTAAATAATTAAATCCTAGAAAAACTATCAACATAATAATTGTATTTCTAATAACTTCCATCTCATAATTGTACACAATAACTCTAAAGTATTGAAACTAATTTAATCCTGAAAATTTAATTTCTAAATTCTTAAACCCTAACATAGGCATAAGCCTTAAATATCTTTAAATATGTACACAAAAACCTTAAATTAAAAAAAAAAACTTTTAGACTAAATTATGAAACCAGGGATGGATTAAGGTTTGAAAGACACTTTTTCTACAAAAAAAAAAATGTCTCATCCAACAAGAAGTGCATTTATCACGTGTGCAATAAGCATTCTTTTATAGAAAACGTTTTTCTAAAAAAAATATTAATTCAATAAATAAGAAAAAATAGTGTTATTCGAGTAATAATTTTTTGGGTAAACTATAACATTGACCACTCAACTATTTAGCTCTTTTACTTTTACTATTGATCTTTTAATTTTATCAATCAGACTACTTAATTATTTAATTGTTGTCAATCAAGCCACTAACAATTAATATTTAACGAAATATTGACTTGACAGTTAACACAATTGACATATTTATATATTTAGTCTTCATTACTTACATATTCTACCAATTTAATCTTAATTTTAATTTAATTTTAAAAATTAATCATCCAATCAGGAGTTGAAAGATGTTGACATAATATTATAACATATTTTACTGATAACACGAGTCACTAGCTGATTGGAGAGTTTTTTTTAATTAATATTAATATTTTAATTAAATAAAGTTACAAAATAAAAATAAGTTGGTGCTAAAAAGAGATCAAACCTAGGACCAAAGGGATGATAGAGCGCGCTCAAACCACTGGGGCCGGCCCAATAGTTGTTAATGCTTTACATGGTATTGTATATATTTATTATTGTTCTAAACTTTATTTTTCTACAAAACATTGTTCATTTTATTTTTTAAAATTTAAAAGAAAATATTTTAAATAAAAAATAATCACAATTTTAACGCTATTAAATTATTATTTTCAATGATTATAGTTATTTTTATTAAAATATGTTTTACATTCTCATTATATAAATCTACCAGCTTTTAATTTTTTTAACAATTTTGATTTAAAGTATTTAAAAATATTTTTTTATAATAAGAAGTAATTAATTTACTAATAAATTAACTTGAATCAAATATTAAAAAAATTATTATCTAATTATATAATAATTTGAATATAATGTTTTAATATTTAATAATATTTTATGGTTAATCATATGAAATAAATTTATTCATTTAATTTAATATCATTAATGATTATTTATATTTTACTATAATTAATCTCATCATTAATGATGGCTAAACTTTATTATTTATTGTTTTATATTGCACCTAAAGCGATGAATGTTTTATAAGTCTGAAAATAAAATTAATAATAATAACAATATATAAAACTCCATATAAGTTTTATCAAATGTGGGGTTTGTGTCCCGGTTGTTAAAACCTGCCCACGGAACTCTTTAGTCCCGAGTTTGATTCCTCCTAACGACCTCCTTATTTCTACTTTGTTTTCACCATGAATAGGTGGTGACATATGTGGTATCTTATGATTGGCGGGGAAATTTTTTATTTCGTTAAAATATTAAAATTAATTTAAAAGACTCTCCAAATTAGCTATTTGCACGTGCCACTTAATCCTAATTGGAGGATTAGTTTTTTTAATTAAATTCATGTTAGGATTAAACTGATAGGATATGTAAGTGATAAGGACTAAACATATAATTATGTCAATTTTTGTTAACTGTAATGTCGGTATTTCTGTCGAATATTAACGGTTAGTGACTTGATTGATGATAAATGTAAAAATGTTAAATAGTTAAGTGGTTAATGATATACTTTACCCTAAATTTTTAGGTATACTAGGATAAAAAGCCTTAAAAATCGATGCCTACTTTTGCAAGCAAAGATTGGCAAGCGGCTGAACACAATCTTCACTCGTAAAAGATTGAAAATTTTATATGATATTTTTTTATTAAAAAATTATTTTTATCTACTAAAATTTTATAAACTTATCGTTCCTTAAAATTTTATAAATTCGTACTCAATATAAAATTTATTACCGCCTTGTTTATATTTAATATCAATAAAAAAATTATATTTATCTTTATTTACATATAGTATTAATAAAATCGTGTATATCTATACTCATATTAATGGCTTTCGTAAAGCCCTTGGTAGTAGTAAAAGGGAACTTAGGGTGTCTACTTTTTTTCTTTGACTTAGTACAAAAATGAGGGTTAAAACTATGTCTCGAAAATATTTTTGTGTAAAAGTTTTTTTTTGCTAAAAATGATATCTAAAGTTGTTTCCGTTTTTATTTTAGGTATTTGAATGTTAACTTTCGATAAAAACCTCCGTTGTCATTTTCTGATAATTTTGAAATTTTATTTTTTAAAAATATATTTTTTTTATTTTTTTAATGGAAAAACCTTCCCTGTGCAGTTCCAACCCCACCCCCTCCCCGCGGCCTGTGCTCTCCCCCATCATCCTCATGTTTCAATTAATTATATTTAATAATAAGTTTAGGTTGAATTTAATAATAAATTTGGGATTATGATTAGGGATTTGGGTATTAGATTTAAGGATTTATGTTTAGGAATTTATAGATTTAGGGGAATTTAGTTTCGATCAGTTGCGAAAGTATGAGAGTTTTGGTCTTGAGTAATTGGACGATCACACATTGTTGGGTGTTCGACTGATTGACGCTGTTGGTTGTGACCACGGTGACAAAGTGATTAAAATTAAGATTTTAAAAGTTTTGAATTTTTTTATTTAAAAACAAGATTATATATATTTTTTAAAAAATAAAAATTTTATTTTAAATAAAAATTTTCAAAATGACTAAAACATGACACGTGTTATTTAACAACAATTAACATTCGGGGTATCCTACGAAAGCTGCTCTCAACCTAGTGTTGGGAGCAGCCTACTATCTTACCTCCCCCTTACCCCATTACATATGGGAACAAGGCACAATCAACCATAACATTCGAGCACCTAAAATTTTAACGGAAAAAACTTTAATCACCTATTTTTAGTAAAAAATTCTTTAAACACAAACGTTTTTCGAAGCATAATTTAAACACTTATTTTTGGATTAAGTTTTTTTTATTTGAACCAACTCTAACTCCATTTTCCAGCTTACGTCTTAGCGTTCATTCTGTTTCCAAAAATTATCTCCTAATCCAAGTTCCACGTATTTTTTTCAGATGTAGCCAGATATTAAATCAAAGTAGTTACGATAATCCCCTCGACTGTCATCCTTAATTACGTCCATGCTACAAGTATGGAAAACCATTACCCATTAACCACTGAACAACATGCGAATTTTCCTTTCAAGCCTAACATGGATCACTAACTCAACACAGCTGCTTTCTTTTCCTTCTTGCATTTTCAATCTTCTCTACATGAGGCTTTTTAATTGGGAAGCCTGACCATGCCCAAATTTTCTAATTGAATTTTGGGCCCAACTCTATACCTAAGGCCCCGCATTTAGGTGCCACCTTTCCTACTCGAAAGGGCAGTTGGGGATATGCTAATACTGCCTATATTTTACAGACAATCCTTTCAAAGCCATATTTCTCGAAAAGAAACTAGTTCGAAAGCGATTATACCACGCCAAAGCCCGTGCATCGGCTGTCCCCTTCCTCTTCGCTACTAAACAGAGTTTGGTCTTTTTGGATCGAAATCTGGTATTTCAAAGAATAAGTGAGGAGATAACTACTAGTGAAAAACAAATGCTTCCAAAAACAAGAGCCAGGGTAAGCTACTTTACCCAGCAGGCCAGTCGCTTGGCAGCTGCATCGCAGTAGCTGCTTCCGAATACATTATTAAACAACTTTCGTGCACTGCTAGGGAATAAACGGTGGTAATTGGGCATGACAACATCTTCTAGCTGCTGCAATATACTTGCCTCGCTAGGTGCACAGTGTTGCCCTGACAACTCCCTCTCCAACACATCCTTGCAAACTGAAAGACTCGAGAGGAGTGTAGAGCTATTCTGGCATGTGTAGCCTGCATAGTCGGAGCAGCGGAACTCACAAACTCCATTGTCACAGACACCACCATGGAGGCTGCATTGTTCATCACAAACATCTGGCATATAGTTCCAAATAAAATGGTAAGAAACTAAGAATGATGAAATACAAACAGGATATATGCAATTAATTGACTGCATTTTTTTTCCAGACGTACACAGCATGAAATGTTTCAATAATGGAATGCAAACCTTGAGAGGTCCCTATGAATGTTTTAGAATATTGAAATAGCACTCAACACTTCATTTCGTTTTTCTTGAAAAAAGAGGGAATAATAAAAAGATCATATCTTGATAATTTATCCTTAACAATGCCAGAAAAGGCATCACTGATATAGAAATCCCTCAGATTTTCATCCACAAATAAGATAGATAAAAACGACTATAATTGACAGAAAACGAGTATCTGCAGTCAGATATGTAGACATATTACCAGTCGAGCAGTCAATGCCGGTATGGCCGGTATCTGTAGTCAGATATGTACGGACACTAATAGTGCAAGATCCTGAAAATTATATAACACAGGCAAAAATAACATCAGTTTATTTAAAAGGATTGTCTCGGAAGAGAATTGGCATACCATGTTTTATCTTAGCTAAATATCGACTTTGAGAAGGATCGCGGAGCTCACTTGTATTACAATCGTGACCACCCCAGAAAGCAATGACACTTTCCATTAACACAGTCACCGTTAAAATTACAAGAACTTGCACATTGGCCGGACACAGAAACCGCATCAGTGTTACAGATTTCGTGGTAAGAAGAACAAATCAGTTCACCTGCAGATAAAATATCAAAAGAAATTATCAATACAAATAGATAGATCATAATGACTGAAAAGATGGTTGATTGAAATTACCATTAAAACCAGGGAACTGAACTGGTCCACCAGATTTAGGACACTTTCCAAATACCATCCACAGCTAAAAGAAAAATTATTAACAAAATTAAAAGGTGCAGGAGGGAAAGAACTTAACATTCAAAGGATTTTCGCCAGCTTTATCTTTTACAGTTATAATTTATAAACAAAAGCTATTATTTCAGTTAGTTGGTCCATGCAGGGAAAAGGTTGCAGCAAAACTTTGCTTAGCAAAATAAAACCGTACCTCTAATGAATTATTTACACATCTTTGCTGCTAACAACCATTTTCCATGGGTCACAGAACCACGCACAAAATCTGTTCGCACTAAGGATGAAGCCATGCACCTATGCAATCATTAAAAGATTATTCATCAGCAATTGCCTCAAAAGTTGTAACCATGTCTAAGGTAAAAAGAAAAAGTAAAAAGAGCCCCAGTAAAGTATTTTTTGGGTCAAAAATCACCTTGAGTTACTCACTCTCACTTCACCTAACATTCTGTCTGGGGCTCTTGCACTATTAGTGTCCGTACAAAATCCATCAGAATATGCCACAAAGTATGCGCAATAATCAGCCAGCGAGGACTGACCACCTGTAAAAGTCAATAACAAAGGTCAAGGATGCACAAGGACAAGTAGCATGCAGAATACAAGTATCACATTAGGAACATGTGGAAGTGGAACCAAAACTGAAAACAATTTTTCTATAATTCTAACTTAAAATTTTCATATGTTAATACACTGGCTTTCAATCCCCATAAATAAGGAATTCAAGTTGCAAACAAGTACATACACTTGGTAGCCTGAGGAAAATACCAAGCCCATTGAGGTAGGTCCTCACTATAACTTACAATAGGACAGTAACCCTCTGCTTCCCTGTTATATGTACAGCCAGACAAATTGGCTGTATTGCAATGATATGCCCCCTTCCAGAGATTGCAAGGAGAAGTAACAAAATCTGTTCCTTGGTTGCGGCCCCAATCAAGACGATCTGCCATGCTATAGTTAGCTTGATACCATCCACTATCTTCCAACAATGCCAGAGTCATTTTTGAAACTACTGATCTTGTATCCACAGATCCAGTCATTATCTCATTCATCAAAAGTCATTTTTCCCAGTGAGACCAAGTCATCACCCAAAACATTAAGGACCATACGGCTAAACTGCTGCATCTTCTGTTAAGAATCATATTTTGTATTCTACACTAGTTTTGAGATAACTTCCATGAGTAATCCACAACAAATGGCTCAAAATAGAGAGGGGAGAAGCAATAATAACAAAGCCAAAATTGAATACCTGATGTGACGCGCCCTCCCCCATCTTCTAGCTCTAAGCCTGTAAAATTTTCTGAGAATGCCTGTTGATTAAACAATCATCAACTATTTGTTCAAGTTTCTCATAGTGCTTTTTTTCAGTAATCTAAAGCAAAAAAACTCAGCACAACAAAGAAGTTAACAATACCCCATAATGATGCCATGAATGCATAATAACACGTGGAAGCACCACAAGAGTAACCTGCAAATTCACAAAGTGATAACCATGGGATAGTGAGGTTCTAAAACTTTTCATCAAGTCCAGATATGACAAAGTAAGCAACATACATTATTTTTATATTGAAAGTAACAAGACATGAGATGCAGTGTTGAAAGCATCTTTATGCGTCCAAATCACAAAATATTAAAAGTTCAACTGAAGTCTGATTTCAAAGGCAATGAACAAGTGACACAGAGACAGAGTTGAGCTTTTACTTTAGAATCCATAACTTATGATGCAAATTGGTTTAATGTTCATACTCACAGTACAGGTCATGTAATTACCCGACTGCGCCTCCTTTTTCTCTGATCCCTAAAATGATCAAAAGCATGTAGGTCAAAGCCAAGAACATGCATAACCTGGATTAAAACAACAAGGGTATTTAGGATAAGCAATTTCCTCCTATACTCTGTCAAATTCATAAAATTAAAATCATCAAACCTCGTGGATAAGAGTAGCTGAGAGTAAAGTCTCTGCTTCAGCCGTTAAATGTCGTGGAGCAACATTCACATGACCTACAAAACGGAAGTACATAGCTTTTTATTTTAGATTTCTACTGCACACAAAATCAACATACTCCACACTTTAGAGATGGGACAACGAGCAATTACCAGCTATTGCACGGCCCCATTGGTCACGTTCAAATGCTACTGCCCAAGCTAAAGTGTTGCCAATGGTAGGTCTTAAAGTCACAAGAAGAACCAAGTCTGCATAAGCAACACCATCTGCAGGAAAAGATAGATAAAGACATTGGTTACAAAAGAATGAATCTAGCAGGAAATTACTCTTAGAGGCCAACATCAAGATGAAAATGGAATCCAAGTAACTTTAAGAAACTGAAATGAGATACCTTCGACATATTCACGAAGCTATACACCTCCATCTTGTCCGCATGCAGAATATCCACTCAATCTCAAATTCCCTCTCACAGGCTCTACAGCCAAGGCTCTCTTGAACCAGTCAGCTGCCTGCCCTAGAGCCTTCATTCAATTTCTTAGAAAAGTTAGCATTGGGTTAATCCTTACCAACAAAAGCAAATTTATTTGTAGAATGTATAAACTGAAACCTTGCGAAGTCGGCGACGTTTGTCCTCCCCAGATATATCATCCAAAGTGCAATTATACCAACAGTCGCCATAGATTGGAGGATGGCCATGGGGATTGCAGGAGGGCATGCCAGGCGGAGAACTCAGAAGTGGCTCCCCAAGCTGGTAAAAGAAAATCCAGAAAAAAGAAAAAAAACACCAAATACCCTCAATTAGACTTACAAGCATGATCGGAACTACAATGCTAAAGAGATCACCAAGGACATAAAAGCACCCACCTTCACAATGTCGCCAATTTTTTGACAATCTCTATCCTGTGAGTGGCACAGCATCGTAATTTAAAAATATTCTTAGAGGTTGTTTAGCATCCTTTGGATGACCAAGCAACTCGGGAATCCCAAGCAATGACCTTCCTTTGTGATGCACATGATTTGAGATGCCTGAGTGCTTATAAACTTGAGGAGTAACCGAATAAACCTTATGACCCGTTCGCCTTCTCTGTTCAACCATCTGGTCATGAATACATGAATGCAAAACAATGTTTTCACTTCTTCCTCTTTCTTGGCCTTCCCATTGCAGATCATCACGCTCCCGGAGGTTAGCGGTAGCAGCTTCAGACCATAACAATAACAATAAAATCTGCAGTACACGTAAGAAAAGGCTTGAACTTTAAAGGGAATTGCACAAACAAGAAACCCCAGAATTAGATATTAAAACCAAAAAGGGAAAGAAAAAACTCTATGCAACAATAGATCTAATAAAACCAAACTGTGGCTAATACCAGCACCAAGATTAAGTTTTTACAAATCAAGAACTCAAATCCAGATATTTGATGTGGCATTCACCCCCAAAAGTTTCAACTTCAAATAATTCAAAAGTAATAAAATTGGGGAATGATGAAAACTGTAGATGTAAGAATCCCATAAACTTTCAAAATTTCAATAGCTTTTTTTTTTTGAAATAAAAAAAAATCAATATCTGATTCAACTAAAAGTTCGCGTTTTTATCCAACAAGCAAACCCTTGGTGAACAGCTTCCAAAAGGAAAGAACCCCAAAAAATCGTTGCAAAACGGTAAAATCAATAAATATAAAGAAAACTATGATGTAGGCAAATGAATCCCAACTTCAAATGCAGAAAAGAAAAAGAAACCTTCGAAGTATTAAACATCAAATTTCGAAGTATCTGATCCTTTTCGAACTAATTTTCCAAGTGAACCCATGTGTTCTGCAACCTGATATGTTTCTACAATTAAAACCCACAATCATCCTATCATCTTCATAAAATTCAAGCAGTCTGAGAAATAATTACAGTGAAGTCGAAGATTTACCTCCAATAAAACAGCAACAAATCGAAGCTTAAAATCAAGTCTGGTTAAGTTGCTTGAACCAAACCGGATTATAAGCTCCATCAAATGTCCAAAAGTAAAGCATCAACTCTTATAATTCCATCAAATCTCTCCAATCGGTTTTAGAAACCAGAAATACAGCACTTCGCTCCACATTTCTCCTCCAAAAGTACAAACCAAAAATATTTCCAAGCAAAACGCAAATTTTACAGAGCTTAAGACACCCAAAAAATATATAGATTAAATAATAATGAGATCTAAATATCTTCCACTTTGTTTTTCTGAATAGAAAATGAGGTGTTCTCGAAACACTGCTGCTAAAAAGAAATAGTGACAGTGAAGAAACGAAAGAGATAACTAAATGGGGAAAGAGGAGTTGCTAGAAAATTTATGAACATAAAATCCAAAGATCGCTGGCCTGGGTGCAACTACATACATACAGGTATATGTGTTACGTGTACCGTGTTTTCTTTTTTTCCTTCAGAAATTGTTTTGTTTTTAAATTAGAAAATGTAAAAAATAAATAAAATTAGACTTGATTTTTTTTTCTTTTTCTTTCCGAGAGGTAAACATAATTTACCCATTTGACAATTTGCGATCCTCTTCAGATCAGAAGTAAAACGAGGCCAAAGACAAGATGGTATAATTTGGATCATTTCATTAAATCGCCCATTCTTTTTGAAAGTTCTCATTCTCTTATCATTTAGAAATTGATATAAACTATATTAAATTCAAATCAAAAGTTTCATGTTCTACTGATACCATATAGTACGGTTTTTTTAAAGTATAAATAATATTTAATTTATTACTTTTTTAATTAATTCAAATACTATATATCATTGATACAATTATCAACCTTCTTTTGAAAAATCATAATGATGATGATTTCTTTTTTAACTTTTCAATTTGTGGTAAAATTTTCCGAAATTATCGATGCGTTTGATAGGAATTTATTTGGATTAAGGATAGCTTTTGTTGTGACAAGTATGTCGATAAATGATAAAATATAGGCCTAAAGGTTATTCTATTTTGTGGTAGATTTAAGAGTAAGTTATACTTTTAGTACATAAACTATTAGTTTTATACTAAACACATAATTTACCCTAAATTTAATTGAGTAATTTCGTTTTTATTTTTTAAATATATTTTTTGCACAACAATCGATATTCGATCCATTGATCGACTATAGAGGCAAGAGTGACCCTCCCAACCCAGTTTGCTTCATTCAAAAACATTAGGATTCAATTTTCTGACATTGTTTAAGGGATCTAGTGTCTCATCCCACTAGATCAACTGATTGTTGGTTATTTTTTAAATATATTATTTTGTCTTTGAGCTTATTTAACTACATTAATTTTGTCTTTTGACCGACGATGATTGTTGTAATACTGATATGATGTTCATTGTGTTGATGTTATAGTATACGATGCTGACTTATAATTGATTTTTTCTGAATTAGATCGAGAGAATAATTGATTTTAATTGAAAGTTTGAAGGCTTATTCAAAAATATTTATTTTAGTACAATGAGAGCGAAGATTTTTATGAAAATGTTTAAAATATTCAATTTTTTTTTAAATATTTTTAATTTTTTATACTTATAATGTATATTTTATTAGTTTTTATATTTTATAGTTTTAGTTTTTTTATAATTTTTTTTATAATATTTAGGTTGTACATTGAGGAGATAATACGATTGTATGATGTGCCAACCTCTATCATTTCAGAGAGAGATCATAGATTCACATCCAGGTTTTAAAGGAAACTTCACGAAGAAATGGTACTTGGTTGAATTTCAACATAACTTTTCACCTACAAAATTACAGTTAGTTTGAGAGCATTATTTAATACCTCAAGGATATGTTGTGATGTTAATTATTGACTTCAAGAAAAATTAGAGGAACATCTTCTTTTGATTAGTTTATTTATAATGAAAGTTTTCAGTCGAACATTCAGATTGACGCATTTGAGGCATTGTATGACAGAAGACACATAACTTCTTTGTTGCTGAAAAAATATTTATGAGAATCAGATTATGGGTCTTGACTTGGTCAAGCAAACTCAAGAGAAGGTTCAGTTGATCATAGACAAAATCAAAACAATATTCGATTGATAGATATTGATATGAACCTTAAGCGTCGAGATATAAAGTATGAGGTTGTTGATAAGGTTTTCTTAAAGGTGTCACCTTGAAAGAAGGTGTTACGATTTAGACATAAAATAAGTTAAGTTCGAGGTTTATTATGAGGTATTAAAGAGGTCAGGCTGGTAACTTATCGATTAGAACGATCATTAGAGCCTAAATATATTCATAATATGTTCCATATTTTGATGTTTCATTGATACCGATTAAACCTTTCTTATGTTATTTCATTGAAGTAGATCGAGGTGAGTAATGATATATCGTATAAGGAAGATCTATTAAAGATCTTAGCTCAAAAAGTTAGAGACCTCTAGATCAAGAAGATATCTTTGATGAAGGTCGTGTGGAGGAATTATGTAGTTAAAGAGGTCACATGGGAGACTGGAGAGTCTATGCATTTACAATATTCTTACCTTCATTATCAGGTAAATTTCAAGAACGGAATTTTCTTTTAGTAGTGGAGAGTTATAAAGACTTGTGTCACATCCCAATTTTTTAAATCAAAATTTATTATATAAATTATTTGATTTTAAGGACTAAAGTGCAAGTTTCTAAAATTTTTAGGCTAGTTTCAAAAATTTGGGAAGATCAGGGACTTAACCTTGAATTATCCCATTTTTTTGGTTAGTTAAAAAATAAAAAATTGGGGATTTAATGGCTGAGGGGGCTTGAACTCGTGACCTTAGGGTCATGGGTGCCCATGCTCTAGCCACTGGGCTAGGCTCTTATTTTTTATTTTTAATTAATAAACATATCTTTTATTATAATTTTGTTGGGTGTTAACCCATAACTAAAAACCCCCTGGTGCAGTGAGGCAACCCCCAAAATTTTCCCTAACCCAAACGCTAACCATCATAATTCACTCCATTCTGACCTCCGTTGTCGTGCTCCGTCGCTAACAACGTGACCGACGTTCTCCTGCGACCCGTACCCAATAATCCACAACCCCGTATCGGCCATCGTTCACCGGGAGCGACGATTGAAAGCTCCGTCGTTCAGTTTGCTTCGATTCTGGTCAAACCCGATGACGATTTACCTCACCATGCCGCCACTGTGTTCCCTAGCCTTTTCCAACCAAAACCCAACTGGGTTCATCGTCCACCATGGGTAAGCCTCCAAACGCTTAAATTCGGTAAATGGTTGTAGTCTTTGGCTGATTTTTTAGTTGAATGGTGTTGTAATGTTAATTGTGGGGCAATCGACCAACTGATCGAACCTCGTTGTCATCGCCACGCTCCACCACAAGTCGCTGCGTGCGCGTGGGGCTCTTCCACGCTCCTGGGAGCCTTCTAGAAACGGTCCAGATGGACCGAACTGGCCTAACTCGGTCTGAACCGAGTCTATTTGACCTGATCGAGTCAACCCACCTAAGTCAACTCGAACCGATCTGACCATTGATCGTTGACTTTGACTAGCGTTGACTGTTGACTTTGACTAGCATTAATCGTTGACTTTGACCAAAAAGTCAAATTTTTCAAAAAGTCATATTTTATGTTTTAGATGTCTTGAGTCCGAATCTGAAGTTTGTTTCACTAAATTCGAACCTGGTAAGCTTTTTTCAACGTTTTATATTGCGATTCGATCTGTTTTTCCCGAATAAGATTTGTTTTTTGATGTAATTTATTTTTTTCATGCATCCAAGACATTATGGGACATGGAATTAAAGTTCGAGGGAAACCGAATGGAATTAAAATGATCGACTGATGTGGTTCTAAAATCGAGATAATATTTTACTACCCTATGCATGCTTTATGGTACATGATGGTGGTTTGTTAATGCATGATTGGAGTTATTGGTCAATTACATAGAGTTAATTATTGATGGACTCGAATTGAATATGGTATAAAGAAAGTAAACCCAATAAGACTCAATTGACTCGTGTAAGGAACTAGAAGATCGATAAGAGGTAAATCTAAGTTCAGTGATTTAATCAGTAAATCAATTAATCTCAGGACTCATAAATTCTTATTAATCTCGTTAATGGTTAAATGTCTGAAATACTTGGATAAGAAACTATGAAATACTCGCGTTATGTAAAAGATAAGGATTGTCCCTGAAAGTGAAAATAATCCTGTTAATCGATCATAACCTCTAAGATGGTAAAAGACTTAGAATTCTGATTCTTGACTAAACTCCTAAAGACTAATTTGGCAGAAGTAATGTATATGTCAAAATTAAATTAAATGACTAAAATATCCTTGAAATGGGAAAATGACCAAGAATTGCTAATTCCTGAGCGAACACTCGATGGCTAAATTACCAAAAGTACTTTAAACGTCTGTATTACTCAAAATGACTATATTATATGACAAAGTTGAACTAAATGGAAGTGTTGTACGTATTTAAATTGTTGAAACGATCGAATTACTCTGGAAACTCTGAAATGATCGAGATAAACTTGAATACTAAATGACCTAAGTACTCTCAAATACCTAGTATTAAGTGGATGACTGGGATAAATCTGGAAACGCTGATGAATTTATATGTTGTACTGTCCATAAGGATTATGAACCACGAATCAAGCATGTCGATATTTCTTAATACCGTTGTAATACAGAAATGAAATAAATACCATTGGAATACCTGTTCGTCTCCCTAAGATCTATTCAACGATGATTCTGAAGGTGATCAGTTTAACTAGATCAATCAGTATTAAGAAGTGAATAATGGTGAAATACCTCGGTCTGAATGGTTGGTAAGTATCATAGTGTTAGGATTGCTTAGTTTAATTTGACTCGAAATCCTAATAATTTGATATAAATCCTAAATTCTATAAATTGTTGTTTTACTCTCATTAGGTTAAATTACTAAGAATTCTTTGAGAAACCAAAATGTCTAAAATGTATCTGATTGCCTGAATAATGGAATCACTCCTGTCATATCTGAAATCTCAAGTAACTCTGATATAAAAGATTCTGAATACCTTCCTGATTACTTAGTGCCTCCGAAAAATATTTGAATACTATATGATCTTGATAAACCACTTCCCGAATGACTGATGAATCTGTTACCTATCAAACCTTTTTTAAAGGGATCTCATTTCAGAAGTTCAACCAATTTACAGAAGTTTCGTGTTTCCCCCGCTTGATAATTGCTAATTACCTCCAAAAAATAATTAGATCCTCTAGTGTGTTCCTTATGTTCCATATAATTGTTTTACCTGTTTTAAAATGT